AAGAGACGCTGTGAGATGACTCCTCGAGGCGTACGAGCACTTCACCTACGGCGCGGCGGAGCACGCCTCGGCGGCAGAACTGTGCGAGGCGGGCGGAGGCGAGCTGCTCCTGTGCCTGCGCACCTTCTCAAAGTCGTACGGCCTGGCGGCGTGGAGGGTCGGCCACCTGTCCTACCCGCACCAGCTGCACGACGCGATGCTCAAGGCGCGAGATCACGCGAGATCGCCCGAGATCGCCCGAGATTGCACGACGCGATGCTCAAGGCGGTGGGACGCGCCGCCCACGCGCACGCGCGGGGGCTGGTGCAGCAATGGGTGGTGGATGTGTGGGCAGGTGCAGGACACCATCTCTCCCCATCTCTCCCCCTGTCTCCCCCTATCTCGGTGGACGTGTGGGCAGGTGCAGGACACGATGCCGACGCACGCGTGCCGCGCCTCGCAGCGACTCGCCCTCGCGGCGCTGGGAAGGGCTCGGCGAGGCGGGGGGGGTGGAGCTCACGCGAGATTCACGCGAGATTGGCCGCGAGAGTAGGCGCTGGAAGGGCTCGGCGAGGCGTGGGTGCGCGAGCAGGCGAGTGGGGAGATCTGGGGAGATCTGGGGAGATCTGGGGAGGTGTGGAAGGGTTCGGCGAAAAGTGGGTGCGCGAGCAGGCGAGTGGGGAGATGAGGAGAGGTCTGGGGGAGATGTGCGGAGATCGGGTTCGTGAGCAGGCGAGTGGGGAGATGAGGAGAGGTCTGGGGGAGATGTGCGGAGATCGGGTTCGCGAGCAGGCGAGTGGGGAGATGAGGAGAGGTCTGGGGGAGATGTGCGGAGATCGGGTTCGCGAGCAGGCGAGTGGGGAGATGAGGAGAGGTCTGAGGGAGATGTGCGGAGATCGGGTTCGCGAGCAGGCGAGTGGGGAGATGAGGAGAGGTCTGAGGGAGATGTGCGGAGATCGGGTTCGCGAGCAGGCGAGTGGGGAGATGAGGAGAGGTCTGGGGGAGATGTGCGGAGATCGGGTTCGCGAGCAGGCGAGTGGGGAGATGAGGAGAGGTCTGGGGGAGATGTGCGGAGATCGGGTTCGCGAGTAGGCGAGTGGGGAGATGAGGAGAGGTCTGGGGGAGATGTGCGGAGGTCGGGTGCGCGAGCAGGCGAGTGGGGAGATGAGGAGAGGTCTGGGGGAGATGTGCGGAGATCGGGTTCGCGAACAGGCGAATGCGGCGGCGCGCGAGCTCCCTCGAACCTCGCCGCGACACCCTCACCTCTTGGGCCACCCCACGGAGAGGTTGCGACGCTCGAGCTATATCTCCCCATGTCTCCCCATATCTCCCCATATCTCAGGTTGCGACACTCGAGCCGGCGCGGGCGATGTTGTGGGAGGCGCTGGCGCCGCTGCGCGGCGGGGGGGACGCCTTGCAGCCCGCCGGCGCATTCTACTACTTTGTGAGGCTGCCCGGCTGCAGCTCGCCCGGCGCCCGGGTGCTGGGCGAGGGAGGCGAGGGCGGCGAGGCGGCGGAGGAGGAGCCCAGCGGCCTGCTGCACGCCTCGCGCCTTGCCGACTGCGAGGCGGAGGAGGAGGCGGTGCGGCGGCTCGCGGCGGAGCACGAGCTGCTCACGCTGCCTGGCTCGGCCTTTGGGCGGCCCGGCCACCTCCGCCTCTCGTACGGCCGCCTCGCGAGCGCGGAGGAGGCGGAGCCGATCGCCGAGAGGCTGTTTCGCGCCGCGGAGGCGCTCCGAGCGCGTTGGGGCGAGACCTGAGCGTGATGCGACACTCTTGAAGGAGCATGTAATCCATATACCATAAGTTTGGAGTGCGGCCCGCGGCGGGGCATCACCACCTTCCAATAAATAAATAAAACGCGGGTAAAACAGTGAGAGGAGAGAGCAGGGGGCGCCTTTTGCTTTTGCCTTTTCCCCCGCCACACAGGGTCACACACGCGAGAAAAAAAGTATAAAAAATGCCGCGCGCAGCGGGAGCGCAAGCACCGGATGGGGTGGGCGGTTGCGCCGAGGCGGCCGCAGCCGGGGCTGGCGGCGGCGCCGCCGCGGCGGGCCGCTGTCACGGATATTCGGGGTACCCCCGGAGGCGTGTGCCAGGCCCAGCGCCCAGGAGCAGGCAGCCTCTCACTGCCCGAGAACCCTCCCCGCCGAGGGGTGCCCCGGAGGAGAAAAAGCAAAAGAAAGAAAGAAAGAAAACAGACAACGCAAGGGAGGGATGGGAGGACGGCACGCCGCCACCACACA